AAAAAAAACTAAATGTTTGAATACTTTTGAGACTAATTTATGGACACAATTACTGTCATACACTATACAATGTGTTTAACTGTGAATTTGTTATTAAACTATTTAGACAAACATTTTTTAAAAATTGTTATTAAATTTTTAGCGTATTTATATATGAATTATTTTTAATGTCATAATAATTAAATGCCACTTTATAATACAAAGTATGGTATATATTAATTCACTCATAAATGCCTCGAAATAGTGTAGTTTATATCCCAGATAATTTTATTTAAGTATTGAGCTAATTTGGAAATATTTGTAAACCATGATAGCACAAAATTGTAATTTTCATTAGTATCATGACCATTTATTGTAGATCTGTACACTATCCAAGCGCACTGTATTTGATACATGATTAGCCATTGAGTTGTATTTATTAAATGTGTCATAATTTAAATGATGTACTAAATAAATTGTTAAATATAATAGCAATTAATAACTCAATTACTTTTATTAATACAAAAAATACAATCATTTCAAGTGTAAATATAATTATTTGTAATAAACATAATTATTGTACGGGAATATAATTTTGAAAAATAGCAATTTCTAGATTTTAATTAACAAATTCGTATGGTATCATTAATTATAACCTTACAAATAGGCAGTCATTTTGAAAACTAAAAACCAAATTATACTTTGTCTCAACAAAAATACAAGTTAATTCAAAAATGAAATCCAACAACTTGATCATTCTGACGTTCATCATGTCCATTGTGGTCATGGTGCTATTAGTGCCCGATGCAATGGCCGAGGACAGGGATGTGAGTTTGGATGGCAGTGATCGCGATAGGGATGGCGTCGATAGTGATAGGTATGGCGGTGACAGGGATATGGATGGCGGTGATAGGGATAAGGCTGATGATATCTTTGGACCAATTGATGCTAATCCTGATAATTATAACGATAACGATAATTATGGTCTGGATAAGGTTGATGATGACCTGTTTGGTGATAAAGATATTTAGGTTTATTTTAACTTTTAGCCCGACCGACCCCGTTATTATAAATTTATGTTTTTAATTTAAATTATAAGCATCGGGGTAAAATTAATAAAATGTAATTTAAATTAAGAACTAATAAAATAATTATTTTAAATTATTAAGCATTTTGTTTTAATTTATGTTATTAGCTTGATAAAATAAACATTGTATTCTCGGCTTAAAATTCATGAATTATCTGCATTTTAATTCACGTGGATCATTGTTATATTTTTAAAATTATTTTTATCATATTTAATACTGAAATGGCGATTCATTTTAAAACTATTAAAATCTCTTAATTAATTTGCATTATGCCATAAATTTAATTAAAATTTTCACTTTAAAACTAAAATTAAAAATACACAAAATAACATGAAAATTATTTTAATAGTAACTAACTACAGTACAGTATAATAAAATCAATATGTTTATTACCAAGGTGGCAATTACTATTACAATAATGATGTTATTTATATGGGAAACCAAATGCGATGAATGTCATTATGACGGTCAATGTGGACCCCAAACGAGCATGATGACTTTAAGTAACTGGAATCATTTATTTATATCATAATTATTTAATGTAAATTTTAAGGGTTACAAAATTAGTTTATTAGTTATATTATCATAAACTAGATTCATAATGCTTTACAAAATGTTTTATTAAAAATATTTTTAAATTTTAAATTATTTTTTAATTAATTTTAAATTAGTTTTAGAGTTTTGTTTGTTAATTTTTGGTTGATCTAATAAAATGTTATGCATTCATTCATAAAATTATTATTAATTCATTAATTATTAATATTCAAAAATATAGCAATTATTTAAAAGTTTAAAAGAAATTAAAATATTATTAAACTTAACTAGTAAATAAATAATATATTATACATTTAATTGATCAAGGGAACGATTTATTTTTGCATAATGATGTTTTGTTGTGTTTAAGTACTTTTAGCTACCGGTAATTATTTAATTATTTTTCTAATACTGTATTTGCAAAAATAATAGATTACAATAAATGATATGTTACTGTAAATATAAATATTTTTTTAGTTTCAAAAATATTAGTTAATTATAAATCTTAAATATTTTTTAATCAAATGAATAAGTTTATTAAAAAGGCCATTTGTTTAAATAAATTAATCGTAAATTTTTTATTTCCAAAATAAGTTACGAAAACTAATGTCACTTTTACTACAATTTGTGTCACAATTATCACAACTCATTGTACAAAAGCGACTTCACGTCGGACTCGATGTCTTTGGGGGCGACTGTCGGCGCGTATCGTTTGATGGGAACTCCGTTTTGGTCGATCAGGAATTTCGCGAAATTCCATTCAATGTCGTCGAGACCTTGCTTATTCTTCAACCATTTGTATAGGGGGTGCGCGTCATCACCTGAAAGGCAACGGTATGTCACACAAAGTCATTAATAAGCATTTAAATAATAAACATACTATCATTATATTAAATATACAGTAAAATTAAATAATGTATAGAATATTCTGGTAATGTGTTTTGATTCATATTACAAATTTTATCTCGTTCATAAATGAATTACCATAATAGTACTATACAGTAAAAGTGAGATAGAATATGAACTTGGTAATTATTTGTGAAAATAACTGTAAACAATTTACAATAGCTAGAATAAAAGCTATTTTGTTTTTAAGTTTAAACTAAATTAAATTGAAAACTAATCCATAAACTCATTGAAAGTATGATTAGTCATATATGAAGGGGAACGGGATGTCGACTACAATACTGACCATTTACTTTGATTTTGGTCATCATATCAAACTTGACGTCATATTTCATCGCAAACTCCTTGATCTCGGCATTACATCCCGGCTCTTGTTTCTTGAACTCATTGGAGGGAAAGGCTATTATCCTGAAGCCTCTGTCATTATAGTTTGTGTACAACTCATTCAGTTGACGATAGTTAGTGTCAGTTAAGCCACATTTGGACGCAACGTTCACCACCAGCACCGGGTGGCCCTGGTATTTGTCCAGCGATACCTGTGCTCAGGGTAGTAAATGGCATACAAAAAATACATTAAAAATTAGTAAACATGTTATATATATTTATTAATGATAGGGACAGATAGGTATACTAATACTATCAGTACTAATGTTGTAAAAATTCATATTTAAACAAACAATAGTTAATCAAATATCCTGGTTATAGTTCAATTATAAATAGTTATTGAATAAAAAATTTCAAGGGAGCAAAGGTTGAATAATAGTTTTAAAAAAGAGTAAACAAATAACTATCAAATACTGGTCATTGTTAATTAGAAAATAACTAATTTAACATTAGGTATTATGGGACAACAAGGGGATCATAATAATCGTTATTTTTAACCACACAATACATAATAAAAACTTTTTAATAACTTATCGTAACTGACACTCAAACACAGCACTAATTACGAGACTTAAAATCTAACCACTAGTTACTAGGGCTAACCCCCGGGAGTGTTCGTTATCGTAAATACCCTGATGTTTGGCACACAATACACACCTCATTGCCGTCGATATCCTTAACGACAAAGTCATACATAGTTTTAGCGCTTTTCCAGTCGCTGTCGGCGGCTATACTGACGGCTATACCGCACACCAAAAGTGCCGCAAAAATTTGCATCAATTTGTAACTCATTTTCAAAATAAATTTCAACTCAAAGAGTAAACCTTTGGCACAAACGTATGGTTAGT